TTGTTGGGTAAAGCAAAAAAGTAATCGGAGTGTAAGATTATCTTCTTACAATAGCTGCATATAAAGAAGATTAGATGTGGAATTCTTCATCTCCAGTTGACTTGTCTGCTGGATTATTGGTTATTCTTCATTTCCAGTTGACTTCTCAACTTCTCTGCTCATTAATCTAAACCAAGTTTCTATTTAAGAAAAAAAAAAATTAGATCACCACAACAATTTAGTAAACCAAGTCCTTGTATGAACTTAAGCATGCTTAAAATAATTACCCTTTTCTATCTATTTCAAAACTATTTACAATATATACCTACCCAATTAAAACTAATTACCCCACATCCATCCTAACTTTTTTTACCTATTTGACTTAGCTTAGCTTAATTTGGCTGGATTAGGCTTCACTTGATTTGGTTTTGGCTTAGCTTAATTATGGGTATTTTCCGCCCATAGATATTTGCTAAACTTCCCCAATAATCAGTTATTCTTATGACAGCTAGTAGACCGTAAAGTTCTTTTCAAGTGATTCCATTTCTATGTGGTCTTCCCAAATTAATTTAGCGAAAGAGGGCTAAAATTGCCTCTGAATATTGCCTTAAGGCTATAAATATTTTTCGTTCATCCGTCGGTCCAAAAATACCCCTACTTTTATTTTTCAGCAACACTAATTAAAAAATATATTTAAATTTCTTGTGGCAGTTTATTACTGATCTAATTTTAAATCTTGACCCCAGTTAAATAAATCCACCCTAATAGTTGATTTTCTGACCCAAACAGCCCGCCCGAACATTTCACCGGGCAAAATTATTTTTTCCGCCATTTTTGTTCTACATTCCCCTTCTTTTGTATTCTTTTTTTGCTCTCATCCTATTTTTTTTTTTCAGCCATAGATTTTTTTTAAGACCAACACAATATGGATATCAAACTTTACTAATATATTCATTATATCAGACAAGATAATTTAATCAAATATGCCTAAGAAGTAATATATTAACCAAAAAAAATAAAAAATAAGCAAGGGAATTTAACTCCTTAGTAATTCTTATTATAAGGGATTTCCCAGACGATAACAACATTAAAAATTCAATAAGGCTATAAAGTTGCATAAAACTGGAAAAAGTAGAGATGGCCAGATACTTTTTTGAAGGATCCAAATTTTATTTTTCTTCCTTTGATTTTATTGTTTAAATTTCTATTACTTTTCCACATATAAAAATATAAAAAAAATTCTAAATGTAAAAATATAAAAATTTCTATTACTTTTCCACAAAAATAATATTCAATCATATAAAAATATTATTCTTTTCTAAATGCCTTTAATGCATATAAAATAGTGTTAACAATCCATATAATAGTTATCTCAGCGGAAAAGTATTTTTCAAAATTAAAATTAGCAAAATCTTACCTTAGATCAATATGTCACAAGAAAAATTAAATGGATTAGTTATATTTTTGGATAACCAAAGTGGATTAATGATATTCACAATTGAATAGGTAATTTTTAGAAGAAATCTATTATAGAAAATTAATACTCATAATTTCATCTCAAAAATCTAGAAAAATAGACTTTATTAATATATATACTCATGCGGTCTCCTTTTTTTTTTTACAAAAAAATAAAAATAATCATCTTATTAAAGTTTGGCTTTAGACCATCAACTTCATTGAGTCGCCCCTATTCTCTGTTAGAGATATATTTTAATATTTAAAAATAGTACCCTCTATTTTTAATTTATGTGGCACCGTTCACATTTTGAAAATTAAACTTTTTTATTTTGATCGTGAATTCAGATATGAATCTTTAAATTTATTAAAATATAATTTACACATTTAGAAACTATGTAAAAAAAATAATATAAGTCACAATAATTAATAATTTAAAATATTTTAAAGACATAAAAATATGGTAAAAATAAAATGTTTGATTTTTAAAATTTAAACAGTGTCGCATAAATTGGGACGATCGGAGTGATAACAATAATGCGTGACCTTTCACTTTCTTAGTGGCTATCGAGACTAAAAAGTGATTATAATATCTTTGTAACTACAAACCCATGATCTAGAAAATGGTCATTACATCTTTCATTTACTCATCCATAATCTTCCACACTATTTATCCAGTAAATTATCCACCAATCAATTAATACATGTTTATTACCCAACTACCATCATTTTACTCTATGGAAGAAATTCTACATGCATAATTAGAAGCATTTCTTCCTTGTATAAGTGAGTGAAAAATCTTGTTAATGTGTAAAAGTGATTAGAGGCAGATATAGGATTTCGAGTACATGGACGCACTACTGGAAAAAGGAGGAAAAATATATTAAATGGGAATTGATCCCTATTTCTCTTTATAAATAACACACATTTAATCAAATGCATCATTCAACCATCTTGAAGCTAGGTGCCAACAACTAATATTATACATATTTTAGAAAATATGTACATAAAATATCTAATTTTACTGAGATACCATGGATTCACATATAAATTCACCCCTGAAAGTGACGTCTACTGTGGAAAAAAAAAGAGTTGTGAGAAAGAAAAAAGTTTAAGCTTCCAACTTATTTACTACACAAGAGAGTATTATTTTGTTGGGAAAAGTTGTGTTAATGGTTGAGCTTTGGACTCAACAAATAGTTCAGAGTTTATTACTACTGGTTATACCAGTGAAATTTCTATCAAAATGGATTTTAATCTCCTTAAAGAGGCAAGATACCTACGCCTCAGCTTGAAATTTTTTTGTTTTTTCACTTATAATTGTATGTTCGCAAACATTCTCCATTATCGTCCTTCATGTGTAAACGAGGCTTTAATTTCATGCATCAATGTCTGAACGCTTCTTGATGGATTAATATAAGCAGAGGAAGTAATCCTAATACCAAAATCACATGTAATCTAGACAATTAGTATATACGGGGTTTCACAGGTTACCTCTTAAAGCGTGAAAAAATCTCTTCTACCACGTGAGCCTTCAGTTCCATAACTTCTCAATGGAATCTCCACCACCCGCACAATCATGATCTTCGAACGTTCTACGGTCTTCTATTCTGTTACCCAAATAATATCCGAAAATAGCAATTTCGTGTGGGAGAAATTTTTAGGAACATATGGCTGAAATTTCGGCCACCATGTCTTAACCTCTCTAGGTGGAACACCGTATGTATTTATAGCACAAGTTCTAAGGGTTAAAACCATTTTCCAAAATCTATTGGGTTTTTTTTTTCACCAGAAAAAATATTCCTTTATTTCCTATTATTTAGGCACATCTAGGGGTGTTTATCGGGGGAATCGGGCGGATAATTATGCTTAATGATTCGACTTATCGGTTATCGGATTATCAATGTAGTAATCCACTAGTCATCCAATAAGATAACTGTCGGATTGGTATCGGATTAACGATTATCAGACGGTTTATCGACTAAACCAAATAAAACAATTTGGAATAATATTGAAATGGATTCTTTTTTATGGGTAGTTTTATTGACTGACTTCATGTACGCATCCTAACATAACTGATGAGCTGGATAGAATTGAAAATTCGGGTGGAGAAGTTATAAATTGGAATGGACATCGAGTCTTAGGAGTTCTTGCTACTTCAAGATCCATAGAAAAGTGTAAATATAAAAATTCTTAACGGGTTAACGATTTATCCGATAAAAAAATTGAGTAATCCGCCCCTAAATCGCTAAGTCGTTAATTATAAAATCTCAATCCGTTCACCGTCCATTTCCCCGATAATCCGATACCAATAAGCCAATAAATCATCGGTTTGATTTAGTTAACAGTTTCGGTTCGCTTTTAAACAGCCCTAGGTACATCAGGGACCACATAATTTAAATAACAAGGCTTCCAATTATGAAATTAATTTTTAATTTTAGAAATTAATATCTATCATAATTAATTACGAATTATTTCACTAAAAATTCATAATTTCACTCCTTATTCAATTTCGAAATATCTATTAAATCTTATTTAACTCCTCAGGTTAAGATTCAGATACTAATCAATTAAACTAAATTACTGACAATTTAATTTATTAATTATTTACTTTATACTTTCGCTTAACTTATTTCATGTGTCGGATACAAAATCCATCGGCCGCGTTTACACATGAAAACTTATAAGCTTTCATAAAGGTGTATCATCATTCTCTAAACCGAGACATGGATTCCATCAACTAACTATTATTTCGCCAATGTACATTATTATTATCCAATTTATCAGGCATATTGACCCGTGAAAGGATCTCACTTTTTAATAAATCAAAATAATAATAATATACACAACTAATAATAATTATATCAAGATTAAGAGTATAAGTACATTTAATTGTTAGAGAGTTTATTTTATTAAGGCAGTATAAAATACTTATCTCTACTTGATCCGTTCAATATATACAAAATGTACTAGCACAAGAAGTTAGAATTAAACCATTCTCATAATCAAGATAAATTATATTTAATCTTGTGCTACAATCATCCATGATCGTTTGTCCAATTCCATCATTAAATTGTGAACTCAAACTTTATACTTATAAGAACCGATGATTTAATCTTCCGTGTATAAGCTAAACTCTATACACTAAATCATCTACTATATAAGCAAAGGACACAGACTAATATATGATCTATTTAAAACTTTAATAAAACTGAATAAATAATTCTTTCATAATAAATACTATATTTAAACCAAACCCATGGTTAATAGTATATATCCTAACAATATCCCACTTAGACTTTTAACCATGACAATTGTTAGAATATACTATATCCAAACGCATGGTTAATAGTATGTGCCCCAACAATCTCCCACTTAGACTCATAACCATGCATCTACAACTTTCTCATACATTCTTTTTACATGACTATTAAAAGTCTTCACCAAATAAGGTTTTGTTAAAGAATCTTGCCAACTTATTTTCTGATGCAATCTTTATCTAGTAGTTCTTTATCGTCACTATCTAGTTTGGTATTAAACTCTTCAGGGATCTTGTTACCAAATCTATCCCAAAAGTGTACACCGCACTATGGTTTTCCTTAGTATTATTCCACTACGATGAAGTACAATTAATATTACCTTCATTGCCTTACGGTATTGAAATATTAGCGATTTTTTGCTATAGTATTCACTGTTCAAACACCACTCCCACTCGATAAAGGCATATTCTGACTATTAATATTTTTCCACTACTTAAATGTACTGGAACGTCAATTCCAATGTCTGGGTTTTGATGTTCTTGAACGCCTAGTTATTTCTTTGTCTAGTTCCTGTAAAATTAGTTTACTTCTAAGAACATGGTTTATTAAGCAGTCCTTATTTAGAAAACTGCATTTGTTTTAATAATTGCCTTATTTTCTTTAGGACAATAAAAGAAACCTCCAAGTGTTTTCTTGGATATTCAATATATATGCACCTATCCATTCTTAGTTCCAACTTACATATTTGCTTTCCTTTTCAGCATATATGCTGGACAATTCAATATCTGAATATGCCGCAGACTGAGATTACATTCAGTCCACAGTTCTATAGATGTCACAGGTACTAACTTAGAAGAAACTAAATTCAGAATGTAAT